TGCAAAATCCGACATTTTTTCAGTATTTGGTCCATTTCAACCCCTAAACATTTGGCGATCATCTCCAAAATAAATAGGCTTCTATTCTGACCCTAACCCCACCTTCGTGCCAAATTTCGTAAGGATCGGGCCATAATTGCGACCTGTAGCGTGATTACAAATTAACATGGACAGAGGGACAGACGGACGGACGAAAATAGATGATCCATATATACTTTCCTATGTGGGAAACCAATATTTCGAGGTGTTACATAAATTCTGGCCCAATCAAACTTATAATACCCCCAACACATAGTGTTGTAGGGTATAAATATGGTATAACTATTAATTATGATTATTCCTTCGGCGACTTCAATGGTGGCGGCGCACCTTTGGTTGGTTGACTCTGTCACGTGGATGACTTTTGGAAACTGTATCTGCAGAGATTTAATTTTCTTGTGTGTGGATTATGTGAGGAAAAAAATCCAACAAGTTGATTCCGAATGGTAAATCAGGATTTTTGTAGTTTGTTTTCGTCCCTTGATATGAGGGTGTTTTCTTGTGTTATTGTTATGTTGTGGACTTGGTAATATCCTGGTGTAGTTAAAAAGTTATTGGACTTAAATAATAAATATCAAAATAGTTGCTTGGAATGTATTAAATAAACAAGGATCGCCACAAATTTCGGGGTCTTCCTGAATATTTAACAAACCATTTTTTTTGCAACAGTTCACATTTTGTATATACTTTCTGTCAAGGCTACCATTCTCAGTATGAAACCACCCACATTTCTTTGTAATTTAGCAGCTCTCATCTCTGTATTCGCTTCGTTTGGGATTTACACCATTTTGTAATTGTACTGCAGCGTTTTTTTTTTTTTTTTTTCAAAGTGGTAACGAAAAATTACTCCATTGGCCACAAACTAGAGGTCAAATATTAATTTTTTGTTATCATTCACTTGGGTCGGTTGGGTTTCCCACAAACATGTTGTGTGCTGACTACTTGGTGTAGATTTTTTTTTGAATTGCATCTTTTTGCACCGGAAGATCCTTACAAATTGCGTTTTTTTTTTCCTTTCTGATGCTTCATCTCAACTTCTTATTCTTTGCTCGTTCGTTTGTTGAGACTTTATGACCAGGTCTGTTTACCTTCGCATTCAAGATAATGCAGTGAGTACTGCAAAAAAAAGCAACTCTTATTTGTAAAACTACAGGCGAATTGCATGCATGTCCAGACTATGGTTCGCCATTTAGTAAACATACACCCAAAGGTGGTTTGGTTGATGGGGGGGAATGTGGAGACAACCTGGTATCGACGTTAAGGTTGCACCATAAGAGCACACATAAATCATGGTCATTCTACTTTAACGATACATTCTGGCGAGACACGACGCTCCGAATGGGAAGTCAGCAGGACAATAACTACAAATCGCCATGGCAAAAAGTATTTATCTTTGGCTTTGGTTGGTTCCAGTGCTGTAGTGTTGGTGGTGGTGGTGGTGGTGTCCTGATGCTGACCAGGTGATTGCTATTGTGGTCGAATTGAATTGTTCCATTTTAGCTAACAACTATTTTGGGTTGTTAGCATTGGTTTGTGGGGTTTTCATTCTTCATTTAAAGTTCCATAAAATTGAAATATCCGCATTATGGTCGAACTACGTATTCGGGATGAAATTGACAAGGAAGATATATGGCAAGCGCCAACACCAAAATGACACACATGCATATACATTTAAATATATGTACGAGTATATATATTTGGTGGGTACGAAGTAAGAAGAAATTCTTAAGCTTTATTGATGTCAGAAGCACAAAAAAGAGAATTGCAATTATTTTCTTAAGAATCTTTTAAGGTTGTGGGAATTTAAAATAAATAAAAAATATATTAAATAAATGAAGAATGAATAAAAAATAAATAAATAAAGTAATATAAAGTTTATAAATAATAAATGAAAAAATACATAAAACAATAAATATTAAATAAATAATTAAAATGAGTAATAGATAAATAAATTAATATATAATAAACAACTAAACTGATAAAAATAAAATCAGTAAATAAAGAAAAAAATCAACCAAAAATCAAATAAATATATCAAAAATTAACAAATATTAATTAATTAATGAATTAAAACTATATTAATGGGGTTAACTGCTTGACTGAATGACTGACCAAACAAAACCGTTGAATGTAGAATCTTGCAATTTAAGGCAGAGTTTTTGGAAATTCGTACTAGAACGGTATGAAAAGTACTAGGTATGGTACCCAAGGCCGTCCAGATAAATTTAAATTTAATTAGCAAAGATACAAACCAAGTTGACTTTTTCCCCTGTTAAGAAAGGGTTAATAAAGAGAGAGAGAGAGAGATAGAGAGCGAGAGGTAGTAAACCAGAGCAAAATTAAAGGTATTTTGATTAACTTTATTTTTTATCAAATTTCAAAAATTTCTGTACAAATTTCAAATCCGAAAAATTTCTAAGTCTGAAATTATTTGTGCCTATAAGGTCCATATAGGTGTTTTTGGAAATGTTTGCTTTAATTGTGCGAAAAGTACTTAATTTGATATTAGGTGAAGGAATAGAGCTGAAATGTGGAAACTAGATATAAATATCACTGCTTTTGCCTGCAGTTAAGGTATGGGTGTGTTTTTGGAAATACAGAGTGAGATAAAAAACTGCAACCAACTTCAGACTGTTGTCTTTTCTAAGCCACTCGTCCGACAAAATTATTCTAGTGACAGCTCATTATATTGTTTACAAGCGTACAAAATTATTTCAGGGGGAATTTTCCAGAAAAAAAGTTATTCGTGATGGAATTCAAGCGTGTAATTTCTTTACATTTGTGATGGAATTCAAGCGTGTAATTTCTTTACAATAGTGTAATTTCTTTACATTTGGCTGGAAAACCAAAAGTGGCTATCGTTAGAGCTCTCCAGCATTTAAATGTGAGTAAATCTTTTGTGTCTTGTACCATCGCTAGTTACCGTGATACTGGGTGCGTAGCCCGACATCAAGGAAGTGGATGGAAGAAAACAGCAACATCAGCACAAATGGTTCGAAAAGTAAAGAAGCGACTTGATCGAAACCCACGTCGGTGTGGCCGAAAAATGGCTCGTGAGCTGAACATATCACAATATATTGAAAAATGAGCTCGGGGAAAAGCCATTGAAATTCCAAAAAGTGCAAGAACTTACCCCGCAACGGGAAGAAAATAGACTCGCTTGGTCGAAAGTGGTGAACTGTCGAATTTGGTTTTCTCCGATGAGAAAACATTCCTTGTCCAGCAGTTTGTAAACAAACAGTCGTGTTTACTTGCCAAAGAGGTCAGCTGAAAATGTGCACTTCCGGTTGGCCACCAGAACTGAAGCGCCGGCCATGGTGATGTCGATGGTCGCCTCTCCGCTCGTATTATTCGACCGTGGCATCAGAATAAATGCCGAATGTTTTCGCGAAAATATTCTGGATTGTGTATTAAAGTCTTGGGCACGCAAGCATTTTGACCGCAGACCTTGGGCATTCCAACAGGACTCAGGCACTGAGCTCGCGCCACCCAAGAATGGTTACAAAATGAGGTTTCTCGCTTCATTTCCAGCGCACAATGGCCACCAAAATCTCTGGATACCAATCCCGTTGAACTATTGTGTCTGGAGTATTTTGGAAAGCATGTTTGGCACCAAAGTGTCGATCACCCCAAGCAAGCGCTTCACCGGGAATGGGCCAAACCGAAACTTGGACCGATATATCTCATTTTCAATGTTCTGAAGCTCTGTGTCAAATAATGTGGGCTGCATCGTGATTTTAACAGACAGACAGACGGACATCTTTAAATCGACTTAGAATTTTATGCTGATCATGAATATCTTTACTTTAGGGGGTCGACGACGAATATTTAGGGATGTTACAAACGGAATGACAAAGTTAATTACCCCCCTCTTTCAAGGTGGTGGGGACAAAATTCTGAAATTTGACATTTAGATAATTGTTGGTATCTAAGGTTGAGATTTAGAGGTGGGTTTGATATTGAACTAAATTTGGTAATGGGTGAAGCAATAATTGTGAAACTGTACAGGGTTGCCCATATTCGACGGACCCATCTGGCAACGCCATAACTTTTGACAGAGATGTCACATCGCTTAATGACATACCGCGTTTGAAGCGTCAGTCCTAGCAGATTTTTACCATGAACCAATACACGCCACGCGAACGCTCTGAAATAGTCAATTGTATTAATTGAAGACAATTGTGAAAACTCAACGTGCTTTTAAAACATTAAAAAATGTGAGAAGTGCGCCTTCTAAGAACACCATTAAGCGTTTATAAGAAAAATTTTCGACTGGTAAGGCTCTTTCTAATCCGAAGAGGCCATATAAAAGTCGACCAAGGCGATCGGCCGAGAATATCGCTGCCGTACGAGCCAGTTTTGAGAGGTCCCCAAGAACATCCCAAAAACGCCGTTCTCAGCATTTGGGCATGGCTCGGTCCACTTTACAACGGATTATTCGCATTGATTTGCATTTGTTTCCGTACAAAATTCAATTGACGCAAAGAATGTTGCCTGCGGATAAGCCTCGTCGATTGGAATGGGCCCAAAGAGTCATGGGTCCGTCGAATATGGGCAACCCTGTATGTTGGCTCATATTCCAGCAACATCGAACTAAATTGCGTTTACCTGATTCTGCTTTCAGGAGCAGTGAGTTTCGATCATGGTACGAATGGATGGGAGTTTTCCGCAGGCCTACTTAGCATACCTTCGGTATCTCCTACCCCTTGTAACTAGGTCCCTCACCTCGGATTTTTATGCTTCTGGTTTTGTAACGTGATCATACTTTCTTTCTATTTTATAGCTTAAAACTGAATGGTTTAGAAGGTTTCTGAGCATGGTAGTTGTCAAACGATATAAATATACGTCCTTAAATATAAACCTAACCTAAATATCTTCCAATTTAAATGCATTTTACAAATATTTGTATTTGTAATTTTTCTAATTTTTGTTCTTGTTTTTTTTTCTTCTTCTTTTTCCAGTCTATGCTTACGAGAATATTGCATTGAGGTTTTGCGCTCAGCCTATAATACACTGGTGCGGCAAGTACGTCGTGTGTTGGAGCGCAATACAGGAGGCACCAGTCATGATGACTCGTATCTGTTGTGGGCCATACGATTCTTCATGGAATTTAATCGCCTAAGTGATATGAAATTGGAACTTGTCAGGTAAGAAGTAATCGCACACAAGCAAACAAAAAAGGAAAAGAAATAATAAAGAAAAACCACATTTTCTTTTTCTGTTATTCTTCCTCATCTTCTCTTGCTGCTTTGCTGTTATTGTTTACAATAACTTTTGCATTGAATTGCATATTCTATTTCTCTCAGGGAATTCTTAGCTGTTGGTTTTTTTTCTCTGTTTCCTTCCAGGAAGTTATTTTTCTTTTGCGCCATTTTTGCCTTATTCTCCTAAGGTATGAGGTCCGAACTTTTTAATAACACATAGCGCGAGCAGGAAGAGAACTAAACACCTCCTTGGTGATTTACAACAACAAGGTGGTTTTTGCTTCAATAGTTGCCTTTCGTCTTCAGCCTCCCGCATTATTGCTTCCCTTGTTTGGTTGTTTGTTTGACTTTTTCGTTTTTACAAATGTTTTCGCCATCAGTCAGTCTGTTTTCCCCAGAGTTGAGAAGTTTTTCTTAGATTATTAGAGGAACTCACTTCTATTTTGCTGAGTTTTGCGTGGAAGAAGTGAGTGTTGTTGTAACAAATTAAATTTAGCATAGTTTTGTGGTGGTAATGCCGGGCAGGCACAGTGTTTGAGACCCATGAAAGTAGTTGTTTTCTTTTTTAATTCTTTATTCTCTGTACTACTTTCAATATCTATAAATGTAATTACATCAACAATTATACGACATGAGCTGCAAAATAATAATAATTTTGTATTAATACTGGGAATAAAAATTTTTTTATCAGAAACAAGTAAAAAAGCTGCAAGTTCGGCGGGGCCGAACTTTGAATACCCTCCACCATTTGAAACGAATTTGGCAATTTCAAAAAAAAAAAAAAAAAAAAAAAAAAAAAAAAAAATATATATATATATATATATATATATAATAAAATAAATAATAATAATAATAATAATAATAATAATAATAATAATAATAATAATAGTAATAATAAAAAAATAAAAACCAGTAAAGAAAGTCTTAAAGTCGGTCGGGGCCGACTTTATGATACCCTACACCACTTTGCTAATTTAGTAGAGCTGCGCATAACAATTAAAAGTTTCAATCATACGCGCTATGATTATAATTATAATTTAAAGTTCAAAGGGCTAAATATGCCGAAGCATTTGTATATTTTAAATTCGGACTTGTATTACCCATTTGGTGCAAAATTAATTTGAAATCGGATAAAGATATATATGGGAGCTATATCCAAATCGGAATCGATCTCGATAAAATTTGGCAAAGATATTTCTGAGCTGTATTTGATATATTTCCTTGAATATCGTTGTTACGGAGTGCATATTACGGCTGTGGGTAACAAATATGACAAATCGGATGAACAGTATATATGGGAGCTATAGCTATATCTGAACCGATCTTCACCAAATTTGACATACTAGCTTCTAGACTCAATTTGGTCGTAAGTGCCAAATTTCATCCAATTTATGAAAATATTAGACGTTTGGTGCACAATCAAAGGTAAATCGGACGAAGTTATATGTGGGAGCTATATCCAAATCTGAACCGATCTCGATAAAATTTAGCAAATGTATTTGATATATTTCCCCAAATATTGTGGATACAGAGTGCATATTACGGCTGCGGAGGACATCAAGGATCTCGATCAAATTTGGCATAGTTATTTTCAGGTCCAATCTGACCGTACGTGCAAAATTCCATACTATTCGGACTGGTATTACACGTTTGGTGCACAATGAAAAAGCAATATGGGAGCTATATCTAAATTTTGACCGATTATCTCCAATTTCAATAGGGTTCGTTCTTGGGCCAAACAAATGATCTGTGCGAAATTTCATCTGGATCGGGCAATAAATGCGAACTGTACTTTGTTTACAAAAATACATGGACAGACGGACGGACGGAAATGCATAAATCGACTCAGAATGTGATTCTATGCAGATCATCAAAAGGAACTATGGGTCTATCTCGTTTCCTTTTGCCTGTTACAAACAAATGCACAAAGACATAATACCCTGACCACCTTGTGGTGTAGGGTATAATAAAATCGGTTAAAAATTATATTATGGTCTATACAACGACGTGGACCTACATAGGCAACTTTTGTCATAAGCCATTACAACAATCAAATGCGAAACTTCAAAAAAATCGGTGAATAATCATCAAAATATCGAATAGAGAAGAGAGGTAATATTATATGGGGGCTATACCAAAACATAGACCTGCACAGACAATTTTCTTCAAATTCACTTCAAATACCAAATTTGAAACAATTCCGGTGAATAATGTCGCTAAAATCATTAAAATACCAAATATCGGGAGGTACCGTTATATGGGGGCTATAAAAGAAGACGTCTACGAGTACAGACAATTCTCTGTCATAGGTTGTAGTATGTGATACGAACTTTAAATATCAAATATGAAACAATTCCAGTGAATAATGTCGCTAAAATCATCAAAATACCGAATATCGGAAGGTACCATTGTATGGGGGCTATAAAAGAAGACGTGGACGAACACAGACAATTCTCTGTCATAGGCTGTAGTATTCATTACGAACTTCAAATACCAAATATGAAACAATTCCGGTGAATAATGTCGCTAAAATCATTAAAATATCGAATATCGGAAGGTACCATTATATGGGGGCTATACGAAGACGTGGACTTGCACAGACAATTTTTTGTCATAGGCTGTAGTAACCACTACGAACTTCAAACACTAAATTTGAAAAATTTCCGGTGGGGGCTATACCAAAAAGTCCTGCAGACATAATATACATTTTAGTAAAATTTTATCAACCCACTTCATTTCATTCGGAAGCTCGAGTGATTTCCACTGACGGACGGACATCTAAATCGACATAGAATTGTATGCTGATCAAGAAAATATATGCTTTGTGGGGTCTGTGTTCCAAACGGAATGACAATCTTAATATACCTTCCATACTACGGTGGAGGGTATAAAAACAATTATCATTCTAATTATCCATAAAGAAATATATATTTTTTATCCACGCTAGTTTTTAAAAATAATCTAAAGCCAGTGAAATACATATTTTTAAAGAAAATCTATGAGTTAGAAGTTCTGCTTCCATTAAAAGCTTTAATTCCTGGTTAATTATTTTCCTCTTCCCCACGAAAGATGTTAAGTACGTATTTTTTAATTTGACTCTCAATTACTGTGACAGTTGTTTTATCACAAACCACCAGTGAATAGTTCTTTTTTCTTGATCAAACTGGGTCTCCGACTAACAAAGCACAAGAAATTTAGTAGAAATGTGCAGCCATTTCGTCTACTTTTTGTGCTTTCCAGTTCGAATGTTTTGGTTATTTTAACAATTACATTGTGTGCTTGTGGTGGTGGGAGAAGGAAATGAGAAAAATTGAATGCAACACTTTCACATTTCTGGCATTTGCGAAATGCCATGGAAGCATTTTTTTCATTCCTTTTTTGTCCAAAAAAATGTATTTCAAAGCGTACTTCCTTGATCCTCTTCTAGCCATTTGTCACTCAAGCTGTGCAACGTTTTCGGTCATTCATTCCATTCCGGCTGGTTTTTTTGTTGTTGCAATTTATATTCAAAACTATCAATTTATTCATACACTGCTATCTTTGTCAGCGTAACGTGATTTTTTTTACTGTAGTGCTGGTGGGTCAAGAAAAAAGGACAAAGTCTCTGGTTCCATCTCTACTGCACTAAAAAAACCAGTAAGGACAGTGCCGACTATATGGTACCCTACATCACTATGCATATTTAGTAGAGCTCCCTTAACAAGAGGATTTATTTCAAGCAGATCATACCTGCTATCAAAATTTGTGCATGATATTACTTGGAGAAGAATTATATTACAACCAGTAAAGAAAGACTTAAAGTCGGACGGGGCCGACTTTATGATACCCTACACCACTTTGCTAATTTAGTAGAGCTGCGCATAACAATTAAAAGTTTTTATGGGAGAATTCAATCATATACGCTATGATTATAATTATAATTTAAAGTTCAAAGGACTAAATATGCCGAAGCATTTGTGTCTTTTAAATTCGGACTTGTATTGCCCATTTGGTGCACAATTAATTTGAAATCGGATAAAAATATATATGGGAGCTATATCCAAATCGAAACCGATCTCGATAAAATTTGACAAAGATATTTCTGAGCTGTATTTGATATATTTCCCTGAATATCGTTGTTACGGAGTTCATATTACGGCTGTGGGTAACAAATATAACAAATCGGATGAACAGTATATATGGGAGCTATAGCTATATCTGAACCGATCTTCAAATTTGACATACTAGCTTCTAGACTCAATTCGGTCGTAAGTGCCAAATTCCATCCCATTTGGACGAATATTAGACGTTTGGTGCACAATAAAAGGTAAATCGGACGAAGTTATATATGCGAGCTATATCCAAAACTGAACCGATCTCCATAAAATTTAGCAAACGTATTTCTGAGCTGTATTTGATAGATTTCCCCAAATATTGTTGTTACAGAGTGCATATTACGGCTGCGGAGTACCAAAAATAACAAATCGGATGAACAATATATATGCGAGCTATAGCTATATCTGAATCGATCAAATTTGGCACACTTATTTCAGGTCCAATCTGATCGTACGTGCAAAATTCCATACTATTCGGACTGGTGCACAATAAAAGGCAAATCGGACGAATATATATATGGGAACTATATCTAAATTTTGGCCGATTATCTCCAATTTCAATAGGGTTCGTCCTTGGGCCAAAAAAATGATTTGTGCAAAATTTCGTCTGGATAGGACAATAAATGCGAACTGTACTTTGTTTACAAAAAAACATGGACAGACGGACGGACTGATGGACATGCATAAATCGACTCAGAATGTGATTCTATTCGTTTCCTTTTGCCTGTTACAAACAAATGCACAAAGACATAATACCCTGACCACCTTGTGGTGTAGGGTATAAAAATTTATCGGAGCCGAGTTGCACAAAATGGAAACGTATGTCGCGAAAATGACTTCATTGGGCTG